AGAAACAGTTTAACACTTTCAGAAAGAAAGATTTATTACTAAAAGCGTTGGATGCAAAATAAATATGAACAAAGAGATATCACAAGAATATATATATATGTATATAAAGACACAGCAAACATAGAATAGCGAGAAAATACAGGGTAAGTTACTTGCCTTGCCTGGTTTTAGCAAATTCAAGTTGTGAGCTGAAAGGTTCTTTGATCTCCTCTGTTACGATGTTGCTCGGAGATCCCTGTGTGTGTGTGTGTGACAGACTCTAACTCTCTTAATAGGTCTCTCAGGGGAAGGGAAGGGGCTCTGACTTGGGAGTGGTCATTGGGAAACCCTACACTAAACTACCAGCTCATATCCCATGATATGAACCATACATTTGATCTGAGGACTTTGCACTTATTCTGGTTGGTTTGATAATGAGTGGGCCTACATAGTTTTGGGTGATAAAAGTGACACCTTTGTAGACTGGCTGGCTCCACTTCTCATGTCTTCCTGGTTGTCCCCCACACCATCTGCCAGAAGATAACCTTTGCCTCACAGGAATGCAGGGGGGATGTGAGGAGTGATTTGAGAAATGCCTCAGATAAACAGATAGAACACGAAAACGAGGGTTGAGGGGGAACTCCGCTCCAATTCTGATGAGCAAGTTTGCCACAATGAGCACCATGTATAATACATAAGGGGGATATAACCTCCATGTATAATACATAAGGGGGGATATGATCTCCATGTATAATACATAAGGGGGGATATGATCTCCATGTATAATGCATAAGGGGGGATATAACCTCCATGTATAATACATAAGGGGGGATATGATCTCCATGTATAATACATAAGGGGGGACATGATCACCATGCATAATACATAAGGGGGGGATATGATCTTCATGTATAATACATAAGGGGGATATGATCTCCATGTATAATACATAAGGGGGATATGATCACCATGTATAATACATAAGGGGGGATATGATCTCCATGTATGATACATAAGGGGAATATGATCACCATGTATAATACATAAGGAGGGATATGATCACCATGTATAATACATAAGGGGGGATATGATCTCCATGTATAATACATAAGGGGGGATATGATCTCCATGTATAATACATAAGGGGGATATGATCTCCATGTATAATACATAAGGGGGGATATGATGTCCATGTATAATACATAAGGGGGATATGATCACCATGTATAATACATAAGGGGGGATATGATCTCCATGTATAAATACATCAGTGGTTCATATAGTGAACTCGGTGTAGAGTTATTCACCCTGAGGTCATCACAGAGGACAAGGTGGCACTCTTTACATCTGGAGGAAAAGAGATTTAATCTCCAAACACGGAAAGGTTTCTTCACAGTAAGAGCTGTGAAAATGTGGAATAGACTCCCTCAAGAGTTGGTTCTGGCCAGCTCAGTGGATTGCTTTAAAAAAGTCCTGGATTCTTTCTTGGATACACAGAATATAACTGGATACTAACATTTATAGGTAAAGTTGATCCAGGGAATATCCGATTGCCTCTTGGAGGATCAGGAAGGAATTTCTTTTCCCCTGCAGGAGCAAATTGGATCATGCTTTGCTGGGTTTTTTTGCCTTCCTCTGGATCAACTGTGGGTGTAGGATTATAACTTTATTTTTTTTTTTTTTAATGGTCGAACTGGATGGACTTTTGTCTTTTTTCATCCAGACTAATGCAGGCCATAGACGGGACATTTATCGGCCAAATTGTCGGCCGATAAATGAAAAATTGGTCGGCGCCGTTGCCGATGCTGCCACCATGGTCCACAAAAACGGCCATTTTTCGTGGATTTTGCAGCATGACCGATAAAAGTAAATGAGACGATCCATGAAAAATGACCGACGGGCGGACACCACTAAGGGCATGAATATCGGCTGATTTTTTTCGTGCGGACGAACAATGGGACAATAAACGACCCGTCTATGGCCTGCATAACTATGTAACTAAGTGTATAAATGTAGCAGGGGAGTATGTTGAAATATAAATGCAGTTTCCACTTCTTGAAATTTGTTCTTTTATTATATAAACACAAAAGTCCTGGTTTGACTTGAACGCCCCTCGTGTAACAGAAAATGGTCTTCCCCAAACTGCTATCAGATGGTTGGAAATTGCACAATTGTCAAAAACGTCTTTGTATACTGTAGCATTAACAGTACACTCCGCGGTACCTTCACTTGTTCATTTGATGGGGTATCTACATACTTTTGGCCATAAAGTTGGTGTGATGGTTAGGTGTCCACAAACTTTTGACTATATAGTGTGTGAGAAACAATTAGGCAACGTTTCAGCCTTTATCAGAAACTATATCAACTTTGGTTTGACTGACCCTTCAAGACTGGAAATAATAGACACTTGAGTGCCCAAACATTTATTAAAGTGGTTATAAAGCCTAAACATTTTTTTTTACCTTAATACATCTCTTGCATTAAGGTAAAAAATGTTTAGGCATCGCTATTGCCCCCTCAGCACCCTTTTATACTGACCTGAGCCCTCATTCGATCCAGTGCTCTGCACATCTGCAGGTCTTCTCGCCCCTCACTCCCTGGTCTTTGCTGAGGCAGTGGGAGCCATTGGCTCCCACTGCTGTCAATCAAGGCCAGTGATGAGGGAGTGGGGGGCGGGGCAGAGTCCCGCTGTCTGTGTCTAAAGACATAGGCAGCGGGGCTCGGGAGCCAGCTCGCTCAAGTTCCCCCATAGGAAGCAACTTCCTATGGGGGCACTCGCTGAAAAGAAGGAGCAGGAAGTGCCAGTGGGGGACCCAAGAAGAAGAGTTTCAAGGCACAAAGCAGGTAAGTATAAACCTGTTTTTTTTTTTCAAATTGCATTTACAATCACTTTAATCTTCTACATCCTGACATTGGAAGCCAGTACTGTGAGTAGAGCTGTGGGTAGAACGCAACAGGTCTCCCCCCCACCACTAACACCACTACAAGCTGCCAACAGAAAAACACAGGGGGGCAGATACTAGACCAATTACTCTGCACAAGGTCTGTATTACAGGAGGCTCCTACACCGCTAGGATTGCTTCATGCTGGGATTGCTGCACAAATATGGAAAACAAGACACAATCATCATCAAGATTTATAGAAGATTACACATGACTCATTTAATAAGACAATATTGATTTAGCCTTGGGTTCAGCTTGAAGTAGAACATTTCCTACATTACAAAAGTATTATGGCTACGCCCTCGTCTGACTCTTTTAAAATAGAATAGCTTCTTTGTTTAAAACGTTTCCCATATTCCAAACACGAAAATAGCTTCTCCTTCACAGGGATTCTCTGGTCAACAGAAAGTTCAACTCATGCCAAAACATTTCCCCCGAACGTGGACATGGATTCTCCCTCATGTGCATTCCTTCGTGGTTGGAAAGAACCCATCTCAAAGCACAACGATTCCTGGATTTGGAACAAGAAAATGGCCTTTCCCAATGCGAGTTTACTGAAATGAAATGTTCCTCGTATTGTATCACCTTGTAGAAGCTCACGTGACTCGGTGAGCGAAACGTGTTGACGTCACAGCGCGGTGAAGAACGTGCTTCCGGGTCTATCCACATGGTGAACACCATCTCACCACCTGTGTGATTATATCGGGTAGAACAGACACAGACCTACTGACTCATGTTTGCATCATTTGCCAGACTTGGCACTATTGAGCGAATAGCGAGAGTAGACCATCTTGGATGACAGTGAACGGTTGGGTTAGAGGACTCTGTCCAGCACATATGGATAACGGCTCGGTTGAGTCACTGTGATTCATGCTGATATTGCCTTTCTATTGGCTGATGGTGCCACTTCACCATCTCTTTCCTAGCTCACCCACCCGTCGGGACTTTCATGCTACTATCTCAACCCATCTTTGCTACACTTTGAATACTGTTCCTTCTATTCTCCACTGAAGATATTATTCCTGGTGTATTCCTGCATGGGTCATACCCTGGTCTGCTGGGTCACCAACATTTATGTCTACTATTGGTCAATGGACCTAGATTCGATCTGCACGCTATAAGAGCACTGACACTGACTGTTTTTCTCTGCTAAATGGCTGAAGCCGGGTTGTGCTACAAATATAGCCGATTGGGCTGTCATACTGCCCTATACAAGATTATTGTACACTAATACATACCCACTGCCAGAAGTGCCTGTCCTGGGCCATTTGAGGACCATTCCACACATTATTCTGGATCTATTTTTGTATACTGTACCTCTGAATTGGGGACACTTTGGTTTTTGATTTCCTTTTGATTTTTTTGCAATCCAGTTTTTTTCTGTTGATCCTGCCATTTATATTTACCCGGTCCTCTTATGTTATGCCAGTTTCTTTCATTATTTCATGATTACATGACCTTCATGGTCTTTTGCTATTCCATTGTGGCCTGTCTGTTCAGTGTGACTGTGTGTATGTGCACGGATTAACCGGGACCCCAGTACGGGTGTTTTAATTCTCATGGCAACGTTGTCATTGTTTTTACAAGTATCAGGTGGAGGGTGCTCTAGCTGTGTGTTATTTGTTATACAATTTCAATAAACATGATGTTTTAAGCCGCAGCATGCTCTCTTGAGGACTTCTTTTCCACTGGGTTCTATTCACTGGTCATTTTTCTATTGCATGGTTCTAGTCCTGAGAGCACCACCTTCAACTTATGGTGAGTCGGCATTATTAAGGGAACTGGTATTCCTTGTACTTGGGGATCCCAATTTTAGCCGTTTTGTTATTACGTTCCTTGTATTGTACCTGCTTGGCGAGTGTCTTGTTCACCCCTTTTCCTGTTTATCCATGCCAATAAAGGATTTTATCTGCTACATCATTGCAAGTGCGGCCAACCTTTGTTTCTTCACATTGTTCCTGCGATCACGGATCGGGCCGGCACCAATGTGTATGTAGAAGGGCTATATACAGTATCTTCAGCACTCACCTGGAGCGGTCTTGTCTGTCTTCTTCACTGAAATGACACAACAGATCCTACTTGGGTAAAACATTTCCCACACTCAAAACAGGGAAAAGGCTTCTCAGCTGCATTAGTCCGTTGATGGACATTGAGAGCTGGCTTAGGCTAAAACATGAATAAAGGTTCTCTTCTGTGTGAGTTCTTTTGTGTTCAATAAAAAAGGAATTTTGACTTACCTGTAAATTCCATAACTAGGAGTACAGTACAGAACACAAGCAACTTATTTATACCCATGGGTTATAGGTACATACCTTCAGATGACTGGATGCTGGCAAGCTTTTAAGGACAGCCCCCCCCCCCCAGCATCTTCCCTGTAACCTCACCCCACTCCGTAAGTCCTCAGCTTTGTAGCAGTAAAGGCTTGACCCTTTGAGAACGTGCATAGCACGAAACGCGTCAGAGGGCTACAGCACCTGGACATCTTACCCCTATTTGCGCACCAAGGTTAAGGAGGGACTCCAGAGATGTATGAGTGCCTTATGTACCATGGAACCTGACCAGGAGGGATGACCAATGAGAACTAGGGAACGCGGCTTCACCAGAGAGTGTGGAGAACCTAGATGCATCTGAAGGGAGGATACTGCTTACATGCGTTTTTTTTTTTGACGCACTTCTGGTGAGTGCGCATTTAATTAATATATTCCCTGCTCACACTTGGATCACTCGCCCTGATCTGCAGAGGAGACCGGGTAGAATTGACACACCGTACCCCTTTTGCATGTTCATGGACACTGGATTGAACATCGAACTTTTATGATCGATCTTATGACCTTATGTCTTCTTTCTTGTTTTCTATTCCATATACTGAATTATTGACCTTGCTGATTCCATATGAAATTTTGGAATGTGTAGGGATTTCTTGAGGGATTTTAAGTCCACAACAGGATGGATACCTCCATTGGGTTTTGGTACCATCAACAGGTTTGAGCAGAATCTCTTGAACCTGTCCTGCGGTGAAGCTGGTACAACTCTCTGGGACAAGAGGCGGTTTAGGGCCTTTTGGAAATCTATTTGCCCTTGGCCAGTTTTTGGTTCATGTAACAGAAGAAATCAGTGAGGATGTAGAGCTATCTTTGGTAACCTTTGGAGACCAATGATTGCATTCACAGGTCAGGGATGTATTTTGTTCAGAGAGATGAAAACTGCAACTCTTATTTTCAAATACACTACTTCTTAACCAACGACATCACCAAGCTACTCATACACTCCTTTGATATAAATTGCCTCGAATATTGCAATCCCTTCTCATTGGCTTACCTCTACACAGTCTATCCCCCCTTCAGTGTATCATGAATGCTGCTGGTAGACTCCTCTACTTTACCAACTGCTAAGCGTCTGCCACCCCTTTCACACACTTCTGGACTGCCTGATTAAAATTCCAAACTCTAACAACAGCATACACAGCCATTCACAATTCTGGCCAAGCTACTTCCCCAATATTGTCTCAAAGTATCGCCCAAACTATCCTCTCTACTCCTCCCAAGACCTCGTTCTCTGTATCTCTCTCGTCACCTCCTTCTATTCTCGCATCCAAGATTTCTCCAGAGCTTCTTCCATCCTTCCATGGAACACCCTACCCCAGTTGCTCTTGCTATCTCCTATTTTGTCCATCATTAGGCAATCCCTGAAAACTCACCCCCCCTTCAAGGAAGTCAATCCTACCTCCACCTAAGAAACTGAACTTTTACCTTCTACATCTGCTCATCCCTCACAGTTAATACCTTTTTGTGCCACTTGCCTATTTCATCGTACGTTCTCATAAGTATGGCCCTCCTAACCCTCTTGTATTGAATGGTATCATAACTGTACTATCTCCTTTTATATTGTAAGTGCTGTGCAAACTGATGGCACTATATAAATCCTATATAATAATTTAATGATTTGGACAGGTGTCCACATACTTTTGGGCATGTAGAAATTGGATGGTTTTGTGGGTTCTCTTCTAATAAGAAAGCTCTCTGGCCAAGCTACTTCCCCAATCTTGTCTCAAAGTATCAACCAAACTATCTTCTCTACTCCTCCCAAGAACTTGTTCTCTGTATCTCTCTGGTCACCTCCTTCTATTCTCGCATCCAGGATTTCTCCAGAGCCTCTTCCATCCTTCCATGGAACACCCTACCCCAATCGCTCTTGCCGTCTCCTATTTTGTCCATCATTAGGCAATCCCTGTAAGTGCTGTGCAAACTGATGGCACTATATAAATCCTATATAATAACTTAATGATTTAGACAGGTGTCCACATACTTTTGGCCATGTAGAAATTTGATGGTTTTGTGAGTTCTCTTCTAAGAAAGCTCTCTGGGTTAGATTGACAGCAGAGGATTACAAAAAGCCAACAATGAAAAATGAAGGTACAGTTTAGAACACATTTTTAATAAATATATAACAAAAAAAACATGTACATCTTTTTATATGCATGTAAGTTCTGCAGTCCTCTCTCACACAATGCATAAAGATAGAGGAACTCCTCTTTTATTTGATCCTTCAGTAAGACATTTTCCACATTCCAATCATCATTCTGGTTTTGGTCCCGTACCAAGTTCTCTGTTGTAAGATCAAATAGGATTTTTGTACTCGCTGTAAAATCCTTTTCTTGGAGTCCATTAACCTCCCCGGCGGTCTGATTATGTAAATATTTTTGAATGTCAAAGCGGTACATTGTTTTGCATGGAAATTTGTTGTTGTTTTATATTGTAGGCCTGTAATTCTTAGGAATAACTCATTTAACCCCCCTGGCGGTATTTCCAAGTGTAGCTCAGGGTAAACTTTCAATACCAAAAGCGGTAACCCCGAGCTACACTCAGGATTACAGTGCAGCGTTGCTCTGGCATCCCTCCAGCACTTACGTTGTCCCACGCTGTCCTCCCGCTGCATCCCCGGCCATGTCCTCCAGCCGATGCCGGCATCCGTCTTCTGTTCCCTGCGAGCGTCGGGACGTACGGGGGACAGAACTGGCGAGAGATTAAAAAATGTCAAAATTTTACATACACACGGAGCCTAAAAGCGCTTTTGACCTAAGCCCCCAGTCACATCAAAGCCGATTTTGCACGATTTCAAAATTGAGTGACCTGCCGATTTCCAAGACATCTGACACAGACGTCTATGCCAATCGCACGATAAGTAGTGCACCGCTGTAATTGTGGACAATAGGGTGTGACTTGGCATACAATTTGCAAATCACCTGGCATGCAAATCGCATCCAATGTGACCAGGGGCTAAAGGGACGCTTTTTGGATGCTGTGGACGTTCTCAAGTTTCCAGGCAGAAAGAACAGTAGGGCACTGGACAAAGCACTGGGGACAAAATTGAGGGGAAATGGTTTGATCCAGTAATGGAATCCTAACAGATTACAATGTATTGTGTGTATGTCACCTTTTTACTTTTTTGAATCTCCCGCCGGTTCCGCCCCCCATGCGTCGCAGCGCTCGCAGGGAAGGGAACCCGAATGACGGATGCTGGCAACAGCCAGAGGACACAGCGGGAGGACGTCGGCTGGAGGACACAGCGGGAGGATGTCGGCTGGAGGACACAGCAGGAGGATGTCGGGTGGAGAACACAGCGGGAGGACGTCGGGTGGAGGACACAGCGGGAGGACGTCGGGGAATCGTGGGCCAAGGAAAGTTACACTACAGAGTAATCCCGAGTGTGGCTCGGGGTTACCACTTTTGGTACTAAAAATTATACCCAAGCTACAACTGGGATTATCGCCAGGGAGGTTAAGGGACACAGGAAGTCATTCATCTTCCAGTCATACTGCCAACCTGGGGAGGAATGGACAAAGCTTGTGAGTGTTCTTGATCTTCCAGCATTAAAGGCTCGTTCACACTTGACTTTATTTCTAACTCTTGCCAAACGCTCCTATAGAGTTTGACAAGCGTTAGACAGGCGTTTGTGAAGCGTTTTTAATGCTCCGCAAACGCTCCCAAAAAACGCCCTATGCGCGGTTTTGAGGCGGTTGATAAGCGTTTGCCAAGCGTTAAAACCGCACCACAAACTCCTATAATGAAGCTTAAATGGCATTAACGCTCCGCAACCGCGTCGCAACCGCACCACAAACGCCTGGCACCATAGACCTGAATGGTGGCACCATGGTGCCACCATAGACTTGAATGGGAGGCTTCAACTCCTCCTGACTCAACCAGAGCATCAGTTTTGCCACGACGCTAACGCTTCCGTGTGAACAGCACTGTGTGCTGCCATGTGCAGAATTTTCAGAGACATTTGAGAAGCGTTAAAAACGCTTCCCAAATGCCTGTCTGACGCCTGCTGACAGAGTTAGTGTGAACGTAGCCTAAGTGTCAGTATCCAACGCAAGGGTGCCCTCTGGTCTTGTGTTCTGACCTTTATATTTTTTAGTAGGTGGCGGTTTCAGCTTTATCTGATGCCAGATTAAAGTCGTTCAGATGGCTCTTGAGCTGCAGGCAATCCCTAGTAATTTTTGATCATATTGGCCTTGCTGGTCCCGTTAGCTGTGTTGCTCAACCTTTAGTTGGACTTCTTTTGGACATCCTCAAGGTGAAAGACTTCTTGCGTCCTTTAGTAGACTTAAGAAAATAGGATTTTTTGTTCTCACCGTAAAATCCTTCTCTTGGAATCCATCAAGGGACATGGTTACCAACCCTCAATGTTTTTTTATCATGCCCTTGGTACTGCTTTTCTACAAAACTGAGGCATGCTGGTAATGGAAGGGGATATCTTGGGCTGGCCTACAGTTCCAATCGTCTTGAGGGCAGCAGTATCACCGGAAGATGAAAGATTTCTTGTGTCCTCTAGTGACAAAATGTTTCCCTCACTCTGAACATGTATACAGCTTCACCACTTGTGAGTTCTCTGGTGTTTAATAAGACTGCCTGCCCTCGAAAAACATTTCCCACATTCTAAACATGTATAAGGCTTCTCTCCTGTATGAAGCTTTTCGTGGGTTATAAGGTGTGATCTCCGAGAAAAACATTTCCCACATTCTAAACATAAATACGGCTTCTCTCCGGTATGGAGTTTTTCATGGGTGATAAGGTGTGACTTCTGAGAGAAACATTTCCCGCATTCTAAACATGAATATGGCTTCTCTCCAGTATGAAGTTTTTCATGGGTGATAAGGTGTGATCTCTGAGAGAAACATTTCCCACACTCGGAACATGAATACGGCTTCTCCCCCGTGTGAATCCTCTGGTGCCTAGAAAGAGCCGAACTCGTTGTAAAACATTTCCCACACTCTGAACACGAATACGGCTTCTCCCCAGTTTGAGTTCTTGGATGTGAGATAAGTGATCCTAGCTCTGTAAAACACTTCCCCCATTCAGAACAGGGATACGGCTTGGCAGCTGTGTGAATTCGTTGATGGAGGACAAGACACGACTTCTGCATAAAACATTTCCCGCACACAGAACACAAATACGACTCCTCTGCTGTATGAATTTTCTGGTGAGAGATGAGCGTCGCCTTCTGGGCGAAAAATCTTCCGCATATGGAACATGAGAACATTTCACCCTCTCCATGATCTATATGGTGGGGGACTGGAGGGTAGTGTTCAGGAAAGCTCCCACCATGTGTAAAGGGATCATATGATAGATCTGCAGTGGAAAGTACTGGATGATGGTAAGAGGTAATTGGATTTTCATCTGAAGAATCCTCAGAGAGGCCATCGTCTTCTATTTCACCATCTGGAGAGATGATAAATTTATGTCCAATGTGTTGTTCATCTGGGGGAATAAGAGATGGAAGGGGATATGAACAGTTAAAGAGTCAGTAAACGAAAATTGCAGTACAGGTGTATCTTGGTTTACAAACGTCTCAGTTTACGCAATTTTTGGTTTACAAATGAAAATTCATTGAAAATAATGCCTCGGTTTACAAATTTTTTTACGAATTTTCTTCGCAATGTGATGTGTACGTTGGTGCTGATTTTTAAATGCAATTGCAAAAAAAGACAGCTAATCTCAACAAATACTGCTCTCTCTGCTTCTGCTCTCTATTTATCTCAAAATGTCTAAATAGTTAATTTTTTACTGTTTTTCAGTGCATTCTGGGCATTTTGGAAGGTCTCCTGAGGTTATCTTTAAAAAACGCTTCTAAAAGCAAACGCTCATAAACGTGCATAAACAAGGTATGCAAACGCGGCTAAACAGATGTTTTTTAACCTACGTTTTCCAGCAGTTTCCGTCGTTCGGAAGTGTCCCGTGTACCTGGTGCCTTATCTGTCACTTTCCCCGGAGCTAAAGGAAACTTTGTTTCTGTTAAGAAACTAAAAAGGAAACATTGCTTCTTTTAAGAAACTAAAAGGAAACATTGTTTCTTTTAAGTCGGGGAAATAAACTAAAAGGAAACGTTGTTTCTTTTAGCTGAGGGGGAGTGACAGCTGATTCTCTGAGCTATAGTGAAGAAAAAAAAAAGCAGGTAATTACATTTAAAAACCGGCACTGACCTATATTGACAGCAACTTTTTTTTTACTTTTTTCTGACCTCTGGAATGGATTAATTGATTTTCAGTGCATTTCTGTGGGTTTACGAATTTGTTTCACAATACGAAGTGTATGTCGGTGACGATTTTTAAATGCAATTTCGGGCTTTTTTTTTTTTTCTTCACTAAAGCTCACAGAATTAGCTGCCACTTTCCCCAGAGCTAAATGAAACTTTGTTTCTATTAAGAAAACTAAAAGGAAACATTGTTTCTTTTAACTCTGGGGAAATAAACTAAAAGGAAACTTTGTTTCTTTTAGCTGGGGGAAAGTGACAGCTGATTCTCTGAGCTATAGCGAAGAAAAAAAAAAAAGAGCCGGAAATTATATTTAAAAAACGGCACTGACCTATAGTGACAGCGACTTTTTTTTTACTTTTTTCTGACCTCCGGAACGGATTGATTGATTGGTTTTCAATGCATTCATACGGGAAACTGCATTTCAGTTTACAATTTTGTTTTTAGCAATACGAAGTGTACGTCAGTGTTGATTTTTAATTGCAATTGCCAGCTTTTTCTTCACTATAGCTCACAGAATTAGCTGTCACTTTCCCCGGAGCTAAAGGAAACTTTGTTTCTTTTACAAAACCAAAAGGAAACATTGTTTCTTTTAACTCAGGGGAATAAACTAAAAGAAAACTTTGTTTCTTTTAGCTGGGGGGGAAAGTGACAGCTGATTCTGTGAGCTATAGTGAAGAAAAAAAAGGCAGCAATTGCATTTACAAATCGGCACTGACCTATAGTGACAGCGACTTTTTCTTTTTACTTTTTGCTGACCTCCGGAATGGATTCATTGGTTTTCAATGCATTCCTATGGGAAACTGCGTTTCGGTTTACAAATTTTTCGCAAAACGTCCCAGAGAACACATTAAATTCATAAGCCAAGGTACACCTGTATATGTCTGATCATACAAAACAGGTTTCCAGTGACGATCATAAAGGTACTGTGGTGGGAACATTGTTTTCCTGCACACAGATAACTTCCTGTCCAGTAATCCAATCCCTCAATATGATTTGTGGTTCAAAAGGAAGTGCCCTTTGCCTGTGTACTCTCAGTCTACCGACAACCGTACCCACGGTCTACAGGCCAGATTATCGAACTAAATAATCAAAACCTTTGCCTTGACGTTGTTTTCTGTTTCAGTCGTTTTTATTCAGATAATACAACATTGTAAGCGTTTTTATACTGTTGAGACTATCAAGAATGATAAAAGACATACAGTAATTTCAAAGAATACCAATATTTCCCATAATACGCATAACCATTGAGCTATCCAGGAACAGTCAACATTTGCAATATCAACAAATCTTGATTCAAAAGGAAAGGGATTCATGTATATAAAAAGGAGAACTACAATGAGGACCATGTGGGGCTCTATGCAGATGAGACATGCTGGCCTGCACCTGTCCTTCCACTGTACAATCCAGCGAGTATGACCCTTTTCCAGGATCCATATAGGAGAAAGGGACTAACCCCGGGGTACAAACCCAGAGCATTCCCATCAGTAACAATTTTAACAATGCAAATTCCAAGATATGATAGATTCCATAGTGTGCTGTAACACATATAGTAATCGACCGATGAGACCGAAAGTCGGGATAGAGGATTATTATCAAGAGCAATTTTGGAAACAAAAGAGCAAAAGAAGAGAAGAAAGAAAAAGGGAGACAGGAAGGGGTATTATTTACTAAAACTGGTGCGCTCAGAATCTGGTGCAGCCGTGCATGGTAGCCAATTGGCTTCTAACCTTGCTTTGTACAATGAAACTTTGGCAATAAAACCTGGAAGCGGATTGGTTTGTATGCAGAAGTGAGCCTGATTTTGCACTCTTCAGCTTTAGTAAATAAATCCTAAAGTGTCCATCCAGGGATCCAGGAGTCCAACGTCATCATGTCAAGGAGATCACCTCTAGGTATCTGGTACCTGTAGATAAAAGCCAGGGGTTCCACATTTTTTTCAAATGGTGATTGTTTATTCCATAAGATCAGCAGAAGAGAAAGCAGGGCGCCCTTTTTTCTCTTCTGCTTGTCTTTGAGGGATCCCCCATATCCTTGATGAGGAGCTGCCGGTTCCATCCTAGGTGCCTTGCCTCTCTGGTCCATTCCCTCCTTATTCTGCTCAGCCTCAGGACGCATTGACTGTTTCCACAACTGTCACCACCTCTTTTGCATAGAGTCCTCACCATCCCTGACAAGACTTGGATCTGCCAGTTCCATTACACATGCCCTGGTTCCTTGGTCTGCATCCTCCTCCATTGGCCCATCTCATGGACATATTGACTCTGTGACCTACTGTCACCACATCCTTTATACAGTCAGTCCTAACTTTTTCCTTTATTTTTGCCTGCTGTTACCATCCTATTCTATATTGTGTGAGCGCTGAATTTTTGTTCATTATATTGATGATCATTGCATGTACCACCGTGTATCCCATAAGATGTTCACCAGCTTTTCATGAAGCATAATCCAGGTCAGTTTAGGCTTCAGCAAAGCGAGATCCACGACTGCATTTTTCCACGCAGTGGCTATTGAGATTTGTCTTGATGCGGTTTCCAGTTCTACAATGAATGCAGACAGGTAGGAAAATTCTCTCTCATGACATCAATTGTATCTCTATTAATAAAACAACAGATCTAACTGGATAAAAACATTAAATAGATGTCCAGTCAAGGATGGAGAAACAGCGAGGTCACATGTCTGAGAGGTTTTTAAACCTCATCCTGGAGATCATCTACTTGTTGACCGGAGAGGTGAGGAGGATTCTGGGAGGTCCCATGACATCACTCTTATCTCTATTAATAAATACAGACCTGACTAGAGAGGTGAAGAGGATTCTGGGAGGTCACATGATATCACTCCTATCTCTATTAATAAAACACAGATCTCGCTGAAACGCTGATATTGTAATGGCATACACTACAATGCACCAACATGTTTAAGTTTAGCTTTTGCTTCAAATATAGAATTGTATTGCTTTCAAGATATCAGATGGTTGAGTGCAAACTATATGAACAGGATTTCAGTGTCTATTTCTCCACGGAAGTGGGAGAATTTAGAAGGATACAAGGATCTGCATAAGGACGTCATTATGGCGAGCCAACCACCCCTCACATCACCAGGTAAGTGGAGACTTTCATTTCTTGTATTAAGGATCCACCTAGATACACACGTCCTCTGATATTAAGTCATAGAAACAATGTATTCAGTCAGTGTGTGTGTTTCCTACAGATGGATCCAGAAATACCCCAGAGAGATGTTTTAAATTTAAAAACAAGAGTCATATGGCGCCTTGCACCATTACAACAGTGTTAGGGAGTCAGCTAAAACTTCCTTCATTGGTGTGAAAATACACTATATAGCCAAAAGTATTGGGACAAACTTTAATGGCATCCCAGTCTTAGTCCGTAGGGTTCAATATTGAGTTGGCCCACCCTTTGCAGCTATAACAGCTTCAACTCTTCTGGGAAGGCCGTCCACAAGGTTTAGGAGGGTGTCTATGGGAAGGTTTGACCATTCTTCCAGAAGCACATTTGTCAGGTCAGGCACTGATGTCGGGGGAGGAGGCCTGGCTCGCAGTCTCCGCTCCAATTCATCCCAAAGGTGTTCTATGGGGTTGAGGTCAGGACTCTGTGCAGGTCAGTCAAGTTCCTCCACCCCAAACTGGCTCATCGATGTCATTATGGACCTTGCTTTGTGCTCTGGTGTGCAGTCATGTTGAAACAGGAAGGAGCCTGAAATTGGGAGCATGAAATTGTCCAAAATGTCTTGGTATGCTGATGCCTTAAAGGTTCCCTTCACTGGAACAAGGGGGCCAAGCCCAACCCCTGAAAAATAACCCCACACCATAATCCCTCTCCACCAAATTTTACACTTGGCACAATGCAGTCAGGCAAGATCTCCTGATAACCGC